TATATATATATAATATATATACATATATAGTATCTTTATTAAAAAATATATTAGTCTATATAAGTGTCAGATACACTTTTCACGTGTTCTATAATTAAAATACCATAAAATTATTCAGGAGCATGAAATTATATATAAAAGTGATATTATTTATAGGGAAAATGGGTATATAATTACATAATATCAATAATAATTATTTTTATTGTTATCTTTTAAAATAAGTGTAATTGATTAAAATCGCAGTGACAATTGAGTGTTCTTCAATCTCTTCAGTAATGTTTTCGTCAATGTTTTCATCGTCACTGTTAATATAATTATAAAATTTTTAGTAACATAGGAATATATAAAAAAATAAAATTCAGTTATATTACATATCTTTCACCATTTTCTTTAAACATTACATTCTGTAATGTTATTTCTAGTGCAATGATGCCCTCTCTTTTTTTTTATAATTCGGGATAGGTAACAATTCGGGCAGCAGAATCAAAGCTTTTACACTTTCTGAAAAATAAAAAAGTGAGCAATAAATAAGAGAACAGAAATTAAGAAAGCAAAAACGTTCAGCAAAATTGAATAAATTAGTTTGATACTTGATCAAATTATTTATGATATATTGCAGACATTTTTTGTAGCTATAGAAATAATTTTTATCAAAATTATGGAGTTCAACTATATCAAGCGAACAAAATTTCTTTTCATTAAAAACATTGTAACTTTTAATTGCATGTTAATTTTTCGATAAAAATTTATTTCTTTTACTATTACATTTTAATGAATAATTGCACCTATTATCTTCAAGATCTTTGACAAATTTCAAGAGATGAAGTTTTGCTTCTTGACAATACTGCAAAATCTGCGATGCATAAAATGCAGAGAAGTTCCCAAAAATACGTCATTTTCTGATGTGGCGAATGCATCGCCACTGCCCCGGCTGTCATAGGAAAAACGGCAATTATAATAAAGACATTGGAATCCGCGAGAATATTATGTACAATATGTACATATTCAGTCTGAAGGCCTCTCAGCTGTTCGAGGAAGAAAAAAAGGTAAACACACGAGGTAGCTGACGAACACGCGAAATACGGTACAACGATCACCGAAAAATTAAAGCGACATAGAATTGTAAATGCAGCAACTGTGATGCATCGTGGGTATTTCTTGTTTAGCTGGACCGGATCCTCGAACGACTGGATGTCAGGCCGCGCGGAATTATCGGTTGTCTGAAGTAAATGCACGGTATAAAAGAGGAATAGAAAAGGAAGTCGCGTCGATTTAAAAGCTAGCAAACGAATCGAACTTTCTCGAAATAAACAAAGATTTCCCCAAGTCGGGTCACGCGATTGTTCGCGAGGCAACGGCCAAGGAGATTGTTACCGTCTCTCGACCCGTGTAAAACTCAAAGCGTGTATCACTGACAGTACATTGTACAATAAAGATTTAACTTTTTGGCTATCGAAGAAACACATTTTATCTGCTTATTAACCCGATCCGCACATTGACACGCTAAACTGGAAAGGTTGCAGAAAATTCTCTCGATATCTAATAAATAAGTAATATTAAAAATTTTACGGAGACAAATACGTATTATATTAAAAAAAACGAAATGCATTGAAATATTTACAAGTTCTCAAGATTGAAACCTTCAAATCTGGGATATTTTTTCAATATTGCTGCTATCGTCATCAGCTTATCAAAGTTTTTGATTTCAATAATACGACTAGCTCTTGTTTCATCTGTTAATTTCAGTACGAGTCCCTTATTTGTGTCATTAGGCATCCTCAGTGCCAGTTCAAAAATCTAAAAAATTCATAAATAATAAATGGAAAATTATAAAAGTATCAATTATTGTATATAATAAGAAATTTGCACCCAGTAGTATTTGACAAAAAGGTGCATTTTATATGTTCATCACTAAGTAAAAATCGAAAAAATTATTAATAATTAAGAAATTATAGTTTTTAAAATCTGTCTGTTTAAATGTAAAGAACAGTGTGACGCAAAAAATAAGGAAAGAGCAACTAAACATCCTATATTTAAATTCAATATTAATTTTTAAGAACAAGTAAATTTTAAATAAAATTTCAGCTATGTCAAAAAACTTGTAAACCTTATATTTATCTTCAATTTGAAATTCTCCTCATCTAGTAAAATTTCGTTTTCAGTTAATTTTCTTAACTTTATTTCGTTTTCCAGTTGCGCACTTCCTTCTCTTCTTTTTTCGTTGGACGGTAATTTATATCAGAAAGTCTTGAGTCGAAATTCAATGAATCCAGTGTTTGTATTTCGATCATAAAAGTGCTCCTGTGATTAAATAAATCAGTAATATTATAATTTATAATAATATTATAATTATTGAAACCATACGTGAACACAACCATTATATCGATTACGAAACTTTTCTCGGAGAGGATGTTTTGTAACCTAACTAACCATGAAGACATTTTTTTACTAAGTCTTGAAATTCCTAAGTACTTTATCTGTACAAGAGTACAAACATATTAAAAATTGAAGACATGAATTTCGATTACATTTTGTTGACTTTTTCAGTAGAAATTAATTTCTTTCATTATCCTAACTAAAATACCTATACGAAATACCTTGACCTCTATTCGTATCCTTTCAATTTCTATTTTACGTTGTACAAATGTATAAACAGGCTTACCTCTGGTAGATTCATTCCCGTTTGTCAAATACTTGACATTGTTCATACACTCAAAATAACTAAACACAGTCAATAAAATTGGCAATTAAAACTTTTGGCACTTGTACGAGAACGAGAACTGAGAAGAGAGCAGAAGAGAGGCGTTAGGCACGATTTGGCGGGATTTCTTTACTTTAAGTTGAAGTGAAGTTTAGAGCATTAACGATTTCACTTTAAAAATAAGAGTGAAACTCTTCACTTTTTGTCTTAGTGTGAATGAATTCACTCTATCTTAAAGTGAATACTTCCTCCACGTGGAGCGAACTGATCAGTAGCTCCAGGATTAGAATGAAAATTTCACTTCAAAAAATTTAGAGAGTAGAGTCAGAAACTATTTTATTATTTTACGTGGAAATTATACGTGATTATCAAATTCGAGCCGATAAAATAGCAAACACAGATGAATACAGCTCTTCTCACAGCAAAAATTAAAAGCTATGCGTAATGATATAGTATCATTATGCATATTGTAAATATTTCAATCTATTGCTGTTTAGAAAATTAATTAAAATTAGATAAATAAAATCAACTTTTTCAGGTAAAAGCAATGCATCTTTTATGTATTATAAGCTATGTATTCTATTTTTTTGCATATTTTTAATCACGTGCACCTCCATATTTACTGTTGATATTCTCTCGCATACTGCTATATCTTTATAAACAAAAGTACAGAGATATTCGGAGTCTCTTTTAAAATTTAATAACGTCATACGCGAGTTGACGTGATTGTTACAAAAGAAGAATCGCCTTTATAGATCAACTTGTGAAATTTTTCGATAGGGGTGTTTACCCTAAAATGTATTTATTGAACAAAAGGAGGAAAGAGGAGGGAGGGAGAGAGAGAGAGAGAGAGAGAGAGAGAGAGAGAGAGAGAGACATGATTGACTCTTAATAAATTTGAAGTTTATCACAAGAGGTGAATGTTCGGAAAACAGCCGGCGTTTGCCAAAGACTCAAAGTAAGTGAGGCCGCTTCTCTGAAGCGATCAAATCGACATGTAGGCGTGAATGTACATAAAATACTTTTCTACGAGAATCCTACGTCTATTCAAGTCGCAAAATAATTTTTGAAGGTCCCTTCTAGGGACATCGATCAATAGGCAATATCGCGAATAACATCTGCAAAACTGTAGGTATGTATAAAAAATACTCGATATAAGAGTAAATATGTAAATACATAAAAGTAAGATAACGGTTATTGTTATCTTATTGTTAATAACATCGAATAATAATTATAATATATATGATGATATTTTTAAATATGTTAATCAATACCTATATTACCGTTACTTGAGAAATATTTTTCGCAACGAGTTAAATCTAAGTAGAATTAATAGACATACAATAAAACTTGTTGATTTCTAAGATTCGTAAGATTCGAAACTTTCGTACGTAATATTGTACTTGTTACAATTACACTAGCAGAGTCAGTCCTTAAATCTGTTATACATAAACAATTAGTAAAGAATTTTATAAATTAAATTAGATTATATAAATATTTTAATCGTACAATCCGTGTAATTCTGTCATGAGGTAATTCTATTCGTAGAGAGAGAACGTAATATCATAAAATTTAATAAAATAGAAAATTCATTGTAAATTTAATCTAATTAAAAATTGCTATCACCTGTTAATCACTTATCGTAGATGAGTCAGCTAGGTAGCGCTTTTTGCGTTACATATAACAGGTTTGTTTCGTCAGGTCGAGAAGCTCTTGTACAGCTTGTACAGACTATAGAGTACAAGTATACTCCCGTTGGCATCCGAGACAGAAAAGGAGAGTAGTCTGACCACGCCTGACCGTCATGGGGGACCTTGAAGAATCATCACGCGCGTCCCTACCCCATATTAATGTGTATGTTCGCGCAACAAAGCTCCATTGGTTGTCGACATCCGCGACTGAAGGAAGAAACGGAAAAAGAAGAAATCGCGGCCTAGCGCACGTTCGTTTTCTGCTTGAGACAAGGCGACGCCCTCTTCGAAGGTGCGTTAAGAAAACGCAAAAGAGAGAAGGGAGGTGGAGGCCGAGGGATTGCTTGCTCCTATATAAGACGAGATATGTCGTATTTTCGAGTATTATCGTACTGACTACAAGCCAGACATATACGAGCTTCAAGATGTTCAAACTGGTAAGTCAATTAAGATTTCAGCGAGATTTATATCTATATAGTGTATCCGTTTGTATATACATATTTGGCGATGTCTGTTTCTCTATCGAGAAGATCGTTATAACTTTAGTTGGGCTGGAATCAAACTACGCATTGAAAATTGAGATTCAAGAGTAAAGATCGAAATTTGACCAATGAGGACAAAGGGATTTTAGCTTCTATTGTTTTGATTGGTCAAATTTCAATCTTTCAATCTTCAATCTCAATCTTCAATGTATAGTCTGATTCCGGCTTTATACATGCTATACATATTACACTGCAGGGTGTATCATGTTTAGTTTCAAGTCTTATAATATCTAATTGTATCTAGTGTCTCAAGAATTAATGATAAGTAAGAGTCTGGCCAATATTGTTCTATTTTTAATTGAACATGAATTCCTACCTCCTGATGAAAAATGGAGGAATTAATTAGATAATGACTGCAATGAACACGTGAAAAAATTGAAAAGCAGATATGTGAAACGCGTTAGTGCACTCGTGTTTGTGTATGTTTACACACATACTCGTATTTGTTATTTTCTATCGATTACTAGAACATTGGCCGGACTACTACTTCCTACTAGGAAAATTACTTGCATCATCGACTCATATTTTCTTATTCGCATCATATTATTCTTCGAAATATATACGTGAATTTTTCCACGAAAAACTCGATTTACTGCATAAATATAGAATTCATACATTTTTTTAATACTCATTTAATACGAACAATTGTTGCTTTATACATTTGTAATTTTCACGAAACTATTGCAAATTCATTTCCATTTCCGAGAAAGATACGCATCGCGAAAGAATTCTAACACGCCGTTGAAAGTCGTTGAGGAACATTAACTGTTGTTCTATTTGTTTATTTTATTATTTATAAATTCCTGGAGAAAAACGAATAAATTTAACAATTCTAAGATAAAGGCCTCTTTCACCAATTTCTGGTTAAGTTAATCGATGATCAACTCGCAAAAGTGCAGTTTAAGGTATCAGAACATCTCTTCTCTTTTCCTCTTCTGTGATTAATTCTCACGTTGGTAATCGTGATGATTGAAGTTAACCATCAATTAGCGTTAATCGAGGTTGGTAAAAGAGGCCCTAAGAGTTATTAAAAATTGAATAACAAAGGTATGTTTTATCCTGTTGAGATGGTAATCTGAGGATTGCTTTCATTTCCTGAGAGAGAGAGAGAGAGAGAGAGAGAGAGAGAGTCGGTTAATGTAATGCGTAAGAGAGAGTACTTGACCATTATTATTACCATTCAGGCATTGACACAATGTGTCAATGTTACCACTTGCAATATCGTAATGTTACTTATATGTACATTGAATGTCATTGTTACAGTTGTGTTTGTTGGCCTTTTTGGCATTCGCCGCGGCTGCGCCGGCACCCGTACCCGCGCCCGCGCCAGCACCGGCACCTGGGGCGATTATCGGAGCTCCGCTTGTGACATCCTACAGTGCTCCCATCGTTTCCGCACCGTTAGCTTACAGCGCATACAGCCTACCGACTTATAGCGCGTACTCGGCATACCCGGCCTTACCGTATGCGTATAAGAGTTACGCGACTGGCCTAATTGTCTAAACACCGGAGGACCAGGCATTCATCAAGAGACTATAAGGACCAATCAATTTCCATCGACACACTTCACAAATTGATCAATGATCAACGTCTACGAAATCTTTTCCAAAAATCAACCACGGATTTGTGTTTTTCCGCGGTTCATTCTCTTCATCCCTTTCTCATTCGTTTGAATAACTCCGCACTTACATTTCATTAGACCCAGAATCAATAAAACTGCTTAAAAGCAATTGTACAAATGTTTTTTACTCGATTTTTACACATCCCACCCCTACAATTAACTTAGATATTGTATAAAAAAAATCATTTTACGTCCACAACAAATCGAAATCCACATTGGATTCGAGATACATTTATTTATATATCAAAGAATCTTTGAATCTAGATATATTATAATAGATATACATATGTATATATTATACGTAGGCTATTTCAAAAATATCAAAATTATTTCAAGAATATATCCTTCTTTGATAAATTCTCTGAATAAAATAAAATATTTTTAATTTTTAAGACGTAATGTGCGCGAAATATAAGAAAATTACATGATGTACTCTTTCATTCAATCATACGCGTATTGAGATTATAGAGTTTGAAAAGTACCTACAATGCGAATTGACGCAATGCCATGCCTTCAAATACATAGTATGCACAATGCATACGTATCTCGATAAAGAATCATCAATGACGTACAAACGAACACATCATTACAGACATGTTAAATGTAGGTATATCAATGTGTTATTTTGAGAAATCCTTTGAGATGCCTCCTGGCGTGGGATGGAGTTGGACAGATTCGAATAAATCTGTCAAGTCTTCTCGAGGGTAACTTGCACAGAGATAAATACGGGGACATAAATACGGGGAAATAAATTAATAAATCGGGCTGAAAATTTTATTTATATTTTAAAAGATGTAATTAAAATGTGTATATTAATTAATAGATTCGTAAAGAATGATAACATAACATTGAAAATTAAAACATAAAAACTTTAATAATTTGTTTTTCTCTATAATTTCATCTAACTAAATATCACTACCTATAAAATTATACAATTTATATATTACAAGATTTTTACACACACACATATAATAATAAGTAATTATTCAATCTCACGTAAATTAATCAATTTAGAGAAAAGATTAATGAAAAAGGCGATTAAGCGATGTTATAATTCTTCGTGAATATTGTAACTGTTGTGAAACGAAGTCATCCTTAGCGCGAATATACGCCTGTCCTTTCTCGTTAGTAGTAATCCGTTGCAAAAAGGCTGTTACGTGTCATGTTATTACGTTATAAATCTGATTACATAAGGATCATGCGTATAGGAGTAGTCACAACTCGAATAATCACTTCATTCATATTGTTCAACGAGCGTTCCTCAGGACCAACTGGCATGTGCAACGCATAAAGCTAATTAATAAAATTAATTACATCAAAATCATCAAAATTATGTATAATGATTTATATATTTACCTTAAACGACCTTCTATGATCACATGTTATAGTGTGGGGCACTAATGTACTGTACAATCGAACTGTACACTGGATACAAGAAATGAAAGATTATCACACATCATTAATCACTATTCTAATTATTATACTGTAATAACATCGTTCATGTTTCCCCCGCGTGTTCGCAATTCCCCTACTCTTCTCTTTGTAATGTAAGGTTTAGATTATACATATTATATACAGGGTGGAGAAAAAGGTTGTGGCATAACTTTGCAGGATGGTACTACAGGTCAAGGTGAACATAAAAGGTCCTATGAACATAGGTCCGGAAGTGCCTTATTTTCGAAATACGCGCCATACAAAAATAAAATCTGTGTTGGTCGATTAGGACATCGTCTGTTCGGAAAACGTGTCTGGTACATACGGCGAGCCTCTACGCAGTTACCACGGGCCTCTCCGTACAACAAATGCATGTCTGCATACTCCGCATTACTAAACATCTTTACAAGATGCGATTAACTGTTTTACACCACTTATCGGAAAACGTTCTGCGCTTTCGAATAAGTACCTTTCGCATATTGTTTACACCAAGGCACACGCCTGACCTTTGTTTACAATATCTCACGTTGAGCACCTCTTGTAAAAGTCACTCGTTCCAAATAAACCTGTTGATCTCACCAACACAGATTTTATTTTTGTATGGCGCGTATTTCGAAAATAAGGCACTTCCGGTCCTATGTTCATAGGACCTTTTATGTTCACCTTGACCTGTAGTACCATCCTGCAAAGTTATGCCACAACCTTTTTCTCCACCCTGTATATGTCGCATATATTGATAAATGCGATTAAAATTAATCGCATTTTGAATTAAATAAATTTAAACTGTAGAATTAAAATAAACTATAGAAACTACATATAAATTTAGGCTATTTTTCTTATAAACGTTATCACGTATGCTGCTTATTGTCATTTTGTTAACGTAAAAAAAGAGATCATTTGTTTATGCCAAGTTGAAACATCTGAGACTTTTGTTATTTTTTAATACTTATATATATATGTGCGTGTGCGTGCGTGCGTGCGTGCGTGCGTGTGTGTGTGTGTGTGTGTGTGTGTAATATACCAAATCGATGTCACACGCATCGGCAAGGAGATATGCTGAGCATTACGTAACAAAGCGGAGTGTTTTAATAACCGGCTTTTATAATAAAGCAACGGCCCAGTGTATCCAATTAACGACAAAGTGTGTTTCGTTATTGCGACTTAGCAACCATGCAGAAGAAAAATTTGATATGGCAACCGACAAAATCTATTAAAACGAAAGTTTACATGTAAACATAAAAATTTTTCGTTTTTGTTTTCAAAAATGCAATATTACACAATAGCATAAATTGTTGTGAATTATTTAAAAACAAGACACAACAATAAATTACGTATATTTGTTATTCTTATAGATACATAAATATACTGCACATATAGTAGAATCTATTATATTTGCGTTTTGTTACGTGTGTTGTTTTAATTAATCCAATGTATAATACGCATAATTGTGCAGGTAACCCTACGTGCTATTCCTGGAACATAAATACTTTATGTAATTTCACGTCATCGCTATTGAAAGCTCTCGAATCAAGAAGATTTGAGTCATATATAACAATACATATATTACGTTATCGCACTATTACATCAGTATAAACATAAAAACAGCCACATGACAAATATAGCTGTTTGTTATTCATAAAATGTACTTTATTATAACAAAATTATAAAAGATAGTGGCTTTCTCCACTAATTGTAAGTAAAAAGTAATGAAGGAGCATGTAAGCCAAACGTAAGTGATGTGCAAGTATCTATTCAATAATTTATGTATGTATATACATGAAACAATTGATGTTTCGACCTTAAATTAGATCACCGTCAGTATTGTTATTGAAATAGCAATGTAACAAATGTTCGTTAACATATTCAAACAATATTTAAGATAAATCAATCGCATGTAGGGGAAAGTGGGGGAATTGTGTGCATTCTGTTTGGTACTTTTCCAATGGATGAAGACATCACTGTGGTGAAATTTTTACGCAGGAGGTCGTCCTCTTAAGATACAACTACAAAAGATACGACGTAAATACGTTGCTAACCAGAGAAATACAAAAAAGTGAAATCACATCTTTTCTTGTTATTTTAGCATTCAGAAAATAAGGTGGTAAGTTCGTATTTTTAATTTGTTTGTTTAAAGTTGCATACGTTATTAAAGTATATTATTATGTGCGTCTTTTGAGCTGTTATTTATTAAGTTTGAAGAAATGTTGAAGTAATCGTATTTTATTATATATCGAGTCAGGTCGCGGCGGGCAACTCTGTGCGCAAGCGTTTTGAAGTGCGCACAATTACCCATCTTCCATATACTATATGACTAGCACTAATTTTTTCGTTTTTTCTTTGCATTATTATTTTATTTTGCCATTTTATTTTACCAAAGCCTATATGTATTATTATTATATTAGTTTTCAAATAAGAATTAAGATCCGACCGTGTAAATGTACAACATACATATGTACGTTTGAGAGCGCCAAAAGCGGTCAAAGTTAGATGTTATGAATATAATATATATTCTTAATTTTTAAAATTTTTAATTACCTCAGATGTGACTGTGCGTCGAAACATTCGGACATTTTAACCACAATCGATCTGAGACAGATGAGAGAAAAATATAAAACTAATATACAACATACATACGTTTGAGAGCGCCAATATAAATTTTATATTGCAATATAATAAATATATTTTCTGATTTCTTTGTCAACATTCCATAATTCATTCATTTCCTACGACTTTTGCTTTGCGCATAATTACCCGACGCGCGAGAAATTTTTTCGCTTTTCCGTTTTTTCTTTTTTGCCAAATATAACCTTATTGAATGAAAATCTGTTCGATATGAGGATACGTAATGGTAGAAAAATGTTTATATAGTTTCTATTTCCATACTTATATCGCTTTGAACTTGGAAAATCATTCCAGGACAATAAATTTCCCTTAGGTGCGCACAATTCACCCACTTTCCCCTAATAAATTATATTAACGCATAAAATTACAATAGATTTTTTAACTTCGTTTTTCAAATTGAAATTAAACTCCTAAAAACTGATTAATATAACGTTATACGTGGAAAGCTTTGCATTGTCAGTGGAGTGATACCCAGGGATTTCCAATCAACTTCTCTCACAGCGTCATACAAGAAATAGTTTTTTCCCAAGTAGACTGCAGACCATTGAATTTTAAGATTAATGTTTAATTACTGTGTGCAGTAATTACGATTACACTGTTTATAATTAATAACAAGAAAGCAAAATACATTAAATTACTAATCAAGAGACACGGTACTTACAATTAGTGTGTCTCGGCGCTACGACAAGCGCAACGACATCATAGCGCAAGACAGACCGTGTTATTACCTTTTACTTTATGCAATCGAGTTGGGGGGAACCGAGATTATCGGATCTGAATAACGACTGAACCGATCGAATTTTATGTATGCTCCATCGATAGCTTCCACTCGGTTGTATAATAAAAATTGTGCTTTTTTGGACTTGCCATCTAGTTGATTAATTAATTAATAGCAATAAGGAAGTTAGCTGGAGTTAATCGCTACTTTTCGAGAGAAACAGAACAGCTTATAAGAAAGAAAGTGACACAGTCGAGCTTTGTGCCGTAAGCCGTAAAGCCTATTTACACATTTGCAACTGGCATTGTTATGCAGCATTGCGTAATCAGTCGAGTTTTTGTCTTATGCTCAGTTATGTAAGTCATCGACAATAATACTGGTCTTTGTTACGTGAGTGCCAGCAGACGTCATCGTCAAGCACAATCACATATTATGCCGAATAGTGATAGTAGACATGCGAAAAATATTGGAGATGAATTGCATTTGTATGATTTACATGCACACACATTGACAGAACATCGTGTTCTATATTTTATCATTTATTTTATTTCCTAAAAATAATATTGTCTATATACATATTTTTAGGAAATAAAATAAATGATAAAATATAGAACGCAATGTCCTGTCAATGTGTGTACATGTAAATTATATAATACAAATGCAATTCATCTCCAATATTTCTCGCATGTCTACTGTACAAAACATTGTACTATACAATACTGATACGTTAATTCACGTGACAAGTTCGTTTAATTCATTCTTTATAAGATCTTACAATACATTTTTTCATTTAGTTGTTATTGTTGTTAGTATTGTGTGGTATTAATTCTTGAAATAACATTTATGAATAGATTTAGTAATTTTATCTCAATATAGTGATATAAACGTATATGTAGAGTGATTGTGCGTGCGTGCGTGCGTGCGTGCGTGCGTATGTGCGTGTGTGGATACACGTACATTTAATTGATGTACTTTATAATACAAATATCCTTTCTCTTATTTATGACTTTGTATCGCGGCACGTGATCAAACGTCAACGATCGCATTTGAGGAAAAATAACAGCTATTTAGTAAAGAATTAGAATCTATAAATTTTTTTTTTTTTTTTTTTAAGTCACGTTGCATTTACATGTCATATAAAGTGCAACTTCCAGAGGTATAACTTCATAACAATCATATTTCTTAGAATTACTTAGATCAAATTTAAATATGAAAATTCAAATACATTTTATATGTATATGAAAAAATTTTATTTTACGTTTTCAACTTATTTTTTCATATAGAATCACTCTCTTTTCATCCATGATTTCCGGAACATTCTCTATAAGTACTCTGTATATAAGTATTATGTATTATTATTGTCTAATAAACGTGTATCATATATACATACATATGTATATTAGCGTACATTTTTGTCATTGAACTTTTTTTTACTATTCTAGTATTATTAACAGAGTTGATAAATAGTAGGCAAACGTTCTTTATCGCATTATTGACTCTATTCTACGTAAAGGTGTTCGTAGCAGAAACGGGCAGAAAGTATCAATTTATAATGGTTTATATGTATATACTGCGCGTTTATATGTATACACGTTTCTATCCACATGAATTAAATTTATTCAATATCAGAATATCAGCCAGTTGATTAAGCGCAATTTAGATATCGAGCTGATGAGCAGTTAGTATTACATTTTGAATGTTATGTGTGGCTATGTGCCTTCGAAATAACGTTAAAATAATCCGTTTCTTTCCATTTCTACACGTATAATTATACATTATTATAGTTATTTTTGTGATATATAAATAAACTAGAATACTACTAAAATTTCTTGTTGATCTATTTAATATATACACATACATATGATTTTCTATATCTCAGTTTACAAATTCTATATCTAGCATTTAAGATTTTAGATAATAAATTGTCCTAGGACAAAATAAATATTTAGATATACATATATGTAGAATGTAATCATAGAATGTAAAAATAAATTTGTACACACACACACACACACACACAAACACGCGCGCGCGCGCGCGCGCACACACGTATATCTCTTTTATTGTTATCTGATCATCAAATGATCATCAAAATTAATTTTTTACTATTCCTTTAATGCAGATAATGTAGGTGTTTTTGGTTGGGGATCAAATACCAAGTGCTACCTGATAGGCACTGCACGTATTGATTTTCAATTCACAAAAATACATTTTCTTTAAGTGTGTACATCCACCCCTTAACATCGATCGGTAAGTTTAGTGACCGAAGTATAATTAGTTTTCAAGATCTGTGCTGTAGAGAAAGAAAGAGAAAAAGAGAGACGAAGAAGGGGGGAGAGGGGGGGAAATTGGTCGGAAAGAGAATGAGAAGAAGAGAATGCAGCGTTCCCAGAGTATCAAATTAAAAACATATTTTTAGATATTCGGTTACGGAACCATCGTTATCTGATTGCTATGATTGTATCCGATGTATAATCGGAACCTTGCTATGAAATATTAAAAATTGCGCGATCGTATGCGATGTAATTATAGTGAATAATCAATAATACCACCAAAAGAGTGTCAATTGATGACTTATAAGATACAAAACGAAAAGAAAGAGTTTATAATAATATATTTAGCCTTTCATGGTCACACTTCTAAAAAGTCACGGTTACTCAAGCGATGGTTACTCTGGATTAAAATGACCCGACCCATCTTTAAAATGTTACCAAATCGACAGTATAAGTTGCGATGGTTTAAAAAAAAGTACGGTATATAATTTCATCCTTTAAGAAAATGGACCAGCGGCGTTTTTGTGAAAAATTTAATTTTAACACTAAAAAAAATCGTAAACATGTATTAGAATTTAGCGTGAAAGTTACATATACATCGTCTTTCACGTTAAATTCTAATATTTACGATTAAATTCTACATGTTTACGATTTTTTTTTAGTGTTAAAATTGAAATTAAATTTTTCACAAAATACTCGGGTTATTTTGACTCAGTATGGCCATAAAGGGTTAATAATGAATTAATGCTGTATATAATACAATTTCAAATTTAATCGAGAGAGAAAATATTAGATATATTATTATTGCGCTTCTTTTCAGTCGTTTTGATAATATACATCTAAAGCTGCTAAATAAAAGATTAATTTCAGGTAAAATAATTAAATTAATTATTTTTTTAAACGTCACGTATTACCTATGTATTTCTCTTGTGTAATACGTAAAATGAAGTATGTATAATGTTATATTTATTTTTCAAAATTAAGCTGATTTGGTCATTAACAAGATGAAATGTAATCGTGAAAAATCAGATATATCTCGAACAATGTGTTTATTGTTACTGTCCTTTTTTAGATTGTAGATGTTTTCTTTCCGAAATTTCAAAACAAAAAACTAAACTTCCGTCGTGTCTTGTTTGTATTTCTATTATCGCTGTGCAAATACTGCAAATTTCCATTACCGCTCTGCATGGTTCTACATAGCTTTTTCCTTAACCCCCTCGACATCCTCGGCTCGGCACCATACGGCACCATGGATTCTCACGTGGACGGCGCGGCGTGGCGCGGCACGGGGAGGCGCGGCGCGGCGACGCGGCGACGCGGCGACGGCGCGGGCGGGGCATGCGCGTATTCCTGCGTTCACCTGCGAGGGTATAAAAGATCGCGTGTCGAGCGCATCGGACTCAGTTTAATCTCGTGAGTAAGATATAATCATCTTGGCCAGGAGAAGTACCGATCGAATTATCGATCGATCAAAAAAGATAAATATATACCGTAATTGTGCTGTAATAGCGGCGGAAATATAGTTTGGAATTGCGAAAAATATTCGAGTCGAACAAGTGTTTTTCTGTGTACGAAATCTATCTTGATCTCGACTTCGAGGCCCACTTCCACAGTCCTATTCTGAACATCTATTCTGATATAAACAGTCTATCTGTATAGTCCTTTAGATACCTCATTGTTTTATGTAGAAACGTATGATTTCAAGCGACACACGAGTCAAATGTCAAACGACATGGAGGATTCTGTGCAAGTGACCGATTTGAGCGATCACCGACAGCATCATCATCGATATCATCATCATCATCATTATCATCATTATCATCATCATCATCATCATCATCATCGAGGTAGAACGCCCGTGGGTGAGATTGGTGACGACGAGTGCAGCACCGACAGTGGCTGCAGCAGCGGCGGAAGTACCGGAAGCGGCGAACGTCTATCGCGACGCGGTAGCGGTGAACGTTTGTGCAGATCCAGTAGGTCTCCGAGAACGCCGTGCTATCCAGAGCGGCTGCGAGGACGAACGACACGATCGCAGGAGCGGCTTAGCACTAGCGTGCAGAGATCGTCGGAGCGCACTTGGAGCCCTCCCGAAGACGTCAGGAGTCTACCTCGTGGTGGTATCTCACCCTCATCGTATTCCTCCAGTCCTTCGGATGCTCACAGCAGCAGCGATAGCGACTCCCTTAAGAGGCCCTCCACAGCGGAGACTCTACGACGGGCCTTTCAGAGTCTCAAGATTACCTCATCCAAATGGGATAACAACAACAAGGAGAAGAAGCACGCGAAGAAGAGCCCGAAGAGGATTTTGCGTAGCCCGGTGCCCTATATATATGTCCGAGGACCATCCGGTCTACCCACTCAAAGGATTCCCCGAAACTCCGGTTTTCAGCAGCAAACTATACAGCCGTGCTCCTGCCAAGATCTGTAATCGATTAATATCGGTCCTACCGGTAGATATCGATTGCATACATCGCTGGGCGAATTTGAAGACATCAGGAATGTTGCAAGGAATATCAGGGGGAATAGCGCAGGACCAAGATACTCTGTCAGAGAGGAAACTAAAAAGTTATATATGTGGATAAAATGCGCAATCAAACGTCGCCTTTTGATCGTCCTGTTCGCGATAACGTATTTCGTTACATAGTCTCATCGACGACGTTATCATTACAAATTTCGAATTCGCGCGTTAATCAGGTATATCCGTAATTCCTAAACTTTTTCTCATTTTGTTTTTCCTTTTTCTCACTCGATCTTCTTATTCGATTATATTTCACGTACGACTCGCTCGACTGTCATGACATTTCTTGAGATAGACACAAGATTCTTCTCTTTTAAGTAGTATAAGTCAAGCGTAACGTCGACTCAACGTGAATTCGCTCGAATCAGCGAAACGAATGATAAGAAAGGCAAAAGAAAGACACTTAATAACATATAAAGAGAGATGACGTTAAATTAAATATATGCACAATTATTATATTAGCTGCAGATGATCCTTAATACCGGACACGGAAATTATTTGCGTATTAAATTACGAAATAGTAGTACTACTAAACGAAAAAAAGAATATATATATATATATGTTCGATCTTATTATCTTCCAGCATATTATTACTTTTGAATTAGGATATGCAGGGAGAGTAAGATAAACTTTTGTGTATTTAGGATCGACTGTATGATAATTTCTAATTCCTCTCTTTTACAACATCTTTTTACTAAAAACTTTGCCATATATAGAGTGTTTATTAAAGCCAAAATACTTATCACGATATATGCACATGTAGAACTACAGTGATTCAACACTTTTCTCTAGTCTGACTAATATTCTTTAATTACAAGCGCATGCAGGATGTTTAGGATGTACGAACGTGCAGACTGATAGATTTAATGTACATTAATCGATCCATATTGTCATTTATCAATAAACTTATGTAAGATTTTATTAACTACATACTTACATGTACTACCATTATCTTTATTATAATTTCCACTCCAGGTAATATGAATTTAATAGAAATAATTCTTTAATAAGAAACGAGAAATTATGATGTAATAATAAAAATAACAATAATAATAATAATAATATTGCAAAAAAAATATAAAACTGTGAATCAAACGCTGGAAAACAATTTTTAAATGCATTCGAAAATTCCAAGGCTGTAAAATTGAGCAATGAGTACTATGCAGTTTAAAAGAAAAAATCGAACAAATGATATACATAATTATTTCTCGTTTGTATTTCTTATTCGCTTATTCCTTTATTCAATTTATATATCATCGTTAATCATGATGATAACGTACTCGTACTTTTATCGGCACTAAGAGCCGCGATTCGTCGCGATTAATCGCACGATAAAAGTCAATTATACCAGCGCGGAAAATTAGTGTGCAGTTCAAATAACTCGTACTACGATAATTGCGGATCATCCTACATATACAAAGAAAACTAATCGCTCGCGTAAAAATATTGTTTAAACAGCGATCAATCATCTCTCAATTGCGCAAGAGAAAAAATCCTTTACTAATCTATTAATAATTAAAAAATCGATATTCACACACAAGAATCAATATTATTTACGTAGAAAATATATAGAAACACATATTATAAGAATTATCATTGACGGATATCTTTGGAAAATAGTAAGCGATGCATATCACTATATTGATATACTCTGCAGTTTTCCTAACACTTGTAACTTTCAAGATGTTAATGAACAAAGTTGATTTCAATTACAATCAAAGGAAATGGAGTGTCCATTTCACTTTTTAAGGAAATTCAAATTATGTATTGTTGAATATGTAAAAAGACGCTCTTATCTCAAATAGTATTTATTTTTAAAAATTTTATCTTATTTTTTTCTATATACATATTATTTATCTACACATATTTGAAATTTATTACCATTATTTAGATCATTTAATTTAATTTCAAGTTTAACTGAAATTCTCTATGTTCTCAGATTTACTTCCTCTTAAATCTATTGAAAATTTATATTAAATTACAATGGAAAATCAGTGACTGATCGTTAGTACCGAATACCATGTTGTTTCTTTCCGCGATGATAGATTATGCGGCAAGAGGTTAATCAGATATATTGGTAGCATGTAATTAATACATCGTGCAATTATTATTGTTTATCAAAGAAAAACATACAATGAGAGTGTACGTTGATGAAATCTTCCACAACTGGCAAAGACTGACTAATCTTCAAAAATTGAAAAATCTGGTGTTAAATATGAAAAAAAAGAGGGACACAGTGATTAGCAAAAATTCGTGATTCATGAAAGAAAAAAGAGAGATCACGAAAAACACAAATACAAACACACACACGTACACATACCTCGAAAATCTCATCTATAAAGAATGTCTGTGCAATTCATCTCTAGTGCCTTGTAGATACCCCCGAGCGTGTCTGTAGTCTGTACGATTAAGTATTATCGATAGGCGAAAATGCGAGAGAATCGAAAGGAACGAAATCATATCCGCCACAGTCGCACGGGTCATACATGTATGTATATGATGTAATATAATAATATATATTACGATGACGTCGTCACGCGTCGTGTGAAAGTGTTGCAACAATAAGAAAGATAGAATAAAAAGTTCTCTCGTTACTCAGGACTGAATGTTTTGTATTGTTTTATCTATGTATGTCTACTTTTACGTTTCAAATAAACGTTTTTCATTCTAAAATCTGTTTTTCCCTTTCTCCTCTACCAAATTATAACATGACTATTAAAAATAACATAAACAATTATATTAGAAATTAATAAATTGGCGAAATGATAAAATCAATAATTAATTAGAATGACGAATTCACAGGGCAAGTTCTTGCATGTCTCGGTGGTCGGATTGATAAAATGCCTGTATGGAATTCGGGAGATTTCGATTTGAATCCCCGTTGAGGTGATATTTTTCACAATAAATTATTTACAGTGTTTTAAAGATGCTTATTATTAACATGAATAATATTAAATTCTTGTTAATTTAATTTGTATATATAATATTATGTACCAACTTTTATTAACTCCAACTTCGGTCTAACAATAAGACTGTGTTTCAAAACTGACAAATAATCGACGCGTAGTTTGTTGGAACTGAAAATACTTGGTAAAAATTCACACAATATAATATTATTAGGCACCAAGACCCGCCTCGATCAAATATCGAAGTCCTCTTCATTCATTTGTGTTGGACACACTTAAAATCATACGTTTTTCCCTTATATATGTCATTTACATTATTTTATATAATAGCACAAAGCTTCGTAAAGTTTAAAAAAATATTAATATATTATTTCGCAAGATTTTAATATTATTTTGATAGATTGAATTATGAAACGCAAAATTTTATTCACAAGATATTTGTTTGCGCTTGTTTCTTTGGTTTGTATCCGACTAAACTCGTCTACATACAATATATGATGACGTATGTACTATTATATATACATACAATGAACGACGATATCTTCCGTAGAAAGAAAGAATGTATAAGGTACGCGGAGCGTTGCAGTCACGGTATGTGTTTTTATCCATGGCCATGACAGAAGCCTGACCTAGTTGCAGGAGCTTGCACCTCAGCATCTCTGTATGACGTCAGGATGCGCAGGAGTCCCATTCACGAGTCTTGGACAAAATAGATCGGTAGATATGATCCACCTCCGTGAAATGTCATAGTTCATTCAATGATCCGCTATAGTTTCTCTTTCTCTCGTTCATTCTTCGCGTATCACACACATATACACTGTTATATCTACTGTCTTTTCTCTTTATAAAAATTAATCTTAACTTTCTAAAAATACTTTATCTTTGTAAAAATAGCTTTTTTCTTTAACGCTAACATCTAAAGCTATTGTCATGTCAATTTTTAATATATATTATTCAGATTATTATATTTATGTTCCCCCAATTGTAATTAAAGGATTTCTCCCCGCGTTTTTTTACTGTACATATGTGTGGGCGCGTGTGTGCGTGTGCGTGCATGTGTGTGTAATTTTTTATTCTTGTCGACACCTTGTAATATTTACATAAATCTCTTTTTTCATCGATTTTAAAATAAGTTTTATTTTAGGAGATATAATAATCCGTTAATATACTCCTTCTTCTATCATCTCATATAAAGATTACAGAACTGATAGATTTAATTTGCTAACAATAGCAGGGTTATTTATTATTAGCTAATGTTATCATTATTAAAACCAAACAAACGTTATTACCGTCCTATGGAAATGGGAAGATACTGACAATGAGCGAAATAATTCAAAACCGATAATAACTTTCGCGATAATTAATCTATGGTGTACTGCGCAAATTCAATTAAGTATCTCAAATTATAGAAAATGTCCCGAATCAGTGAAAACCCCTTACGAACCTGTAGAGCGAATACTTGGTCTCACAAGATGCTGGAACGATTCCGTTTGTGCTGAAAAGCATATTATAGATCGGTCGCTCGAACATTGCCAGCTTTTCTCTCAATAGAGATAAACGCAGCTGCTTGCAGCTTGGATTGTCCGTTTGCCGGTGATCCTTCGTTTCCTCTTCCCACTACGCAATGTCTTTGGCCCAGTTTTCCCATCGGCGTAGTGACGTCATTCACGTCATTGAGAAGGCCACTGACAACGCGTCCCAGTTCCTGCCGTGGCAATTCCGCCATTTCCGCCGCGCAATGCGGAACGAACTCGGTTGGGGTTTCATCTTTCGATCCTTTGTCGCAGTCATTTCATTCTTGAATCTCATCAACTCATACGGTACTCACGTACGTACGTGCGTGAAATAACCGCGTATATGTATAGTATAGTATCGCGATAACTTGCTAGTCTCTCCATTCCGCGCGAATATCGCATGAATATCGTGCAATCATCATACCATATACAGCAGTGATGACCATAATATGACTCATAATATCTTAAGAGAAAACTTATATAAATTTTTATAATAAACGTATGATTATCCGAAAAAATAATTATTAATAGAATGTCAGTTAATTTTAACTTGGCGGAATTAATTAAAATAAGATTGTTAAGATTGTTTA